CTGTAATAGTATGTAATGTATAATGTGTGTGACCCGGGTAATAATATATCCGGAGATAATCTTGTATTTAAGCATAATTTTCCAATAGACCTACGAGATTGATACGATTTTTTAATTGATCATACAGTTGACCAAAATCCTCCTAGGCGCCAGAACTAAGATAATGAACTTCCGAATCACGATACTGAAAGTATAAAGGAGCTAAAAGCAAAATTGTAAATTTCGTTAATAATATGTTAAACACTCACGATATCGCAATATAATGAAATGAGAAAATTAAAAAACAACTTTCAATAACATACCATATGCAGGACTGATCTTCTTTTGTAATTCGGTTATTTGATCCCGAAGCTTCTGCTCTCGAATTGCCGATTTGGAATTTTTTTTCGGCAAATTCTCTTTATCGTTTTGCTTTTGTTTTCTTTTTGTTGAATTCTGTAGTAATACAACAATATATCATGAGTATGATTCTTCATTAAGGAAAGTACATAACAACCCCTTCTTAAGAATTGCAGACTTTAATCGAAGAGTTGTGCACGCTAAAGTATTAGTAATGTTGCCAAGCTACTATAGATATCCCAAACTATGTGATAATTTGTATTGATTTAAGCCGAAACTTTGTCATAAAATTTTCACTCTCTGTAATGGATGTCGATAGAAAATTATCCGATTTGATGTAATTTAACGCGATCAGAAAAATTCTAAGCAAATGTTCCCTTTTGGAAAAAATTTTCTTTCATGAGTAATTTTATCGTATATTCTACTAATATTTGTATAAACATAAACACAAACCTAAAATAATTTTAAGGAGTTTTTTGATGGGATGAAAATTTTACAGAGATACTGGGTAAACTAATTATCACATGATTTTATATGTCCTAAATAGTTCGACAAACATCGATACAATAGAAGATAAAAATCTTTATCAGCGCAGAAATATCATATCTGGTGTAGCAAAGTACACGCCACAGATGACACTCTTAACAGAGTGAATTGCAAGCTTGGGGCACATTCTTCACCTGTACTAGCAGCACAGGGTGTAGCACAGTGCACACCACAGACGACACTCTTTGCAGAGTGCATTGCAAGCCTGGAGCGCATTCTTCCCCTGTACTAGCAGCACAGGGTGGAGCACATATTTTGCAGTACTTGCACAGAATGCTATTCTTTGCTTTTGACACGTTTTTCCCCATGCAAGTATAGGGTGTAGCACAACTCAGTAATGTTTACCCACTACCTTAAGTTCACTTCTTATTGACTGCGCTTTCTTTCGTTCTTCAGTTCCACGTTTTAAGTCTTTAATCAACGTTTCCAGCTCCGATGCCAAAGCATCATGAGACATATGCACCGTTGCTTCCGGGTGCTTTTTGAGGAAGTAACGGTTCCATGCATCTGCATCTCTCCAAAGAACGTATGGTTTCTCCCAATAATCGCGATATCTCAACTTGGTTAAAACGTTTTCTGGTATCATTTGTATGTATTTACGCGTTTAAAGCTCAAATTCAAGGTTGATTAGGTGAACACATGCCGTATATATACCAATTTTTCATTTTTCATATTTGATATTCTATATAAGTGTTTATTATAGTGTCCCGGAGAATTGCAGTTATACGGGTCTTTGTTCTTTTGGCCTTCCAATTCAACTCGCTTGGCTTTCCACACAGGCTGGA